GCAGGCAAAAAGTTTCAACTCTATATATCTATATTCTATAAATTCTATAGCGGAGTTAAAATGAAGGGAAATACAACGAAACTGGGATTGCATACAAGGTATGAGCAACAAACATGGATTGACGACATTGATTATATTTCTATCGGCCAATTCGCTATAGATACGGCTATTAAGAGCGGCAATTTGCTGCGCAGAAACACAGCATCTTTAACCTCCAGATTTGATATAATATCATGCTTTCCGTGCGATGCACGATGAATGAGCTCAGGTGAATGCACAAACGCTCATTCCAACTAAATCTTCTTTTTCTTCACTTTTCCTTTTTTTTCGCAGATCTTTCCAAAAATCTAGTAATTTGATTTTTCATTTTCAAAGGTTATGATGCTACCAACCAAAGCGTTTATTCTTTTGCATGCATGTGTACCAAATTTACCATCAGCCTATATAGGGAGTGTATATTCGCAATTAACAGTTTCACATCCCCATTTAAATCAACATTCAAATATGAAATGACTCACGCCGGGTAAAAGCAAAAAAAGACAAGTGGAGTTCCTGAATATAGACATTGCCAGAGTTCACGCGTTTTTTATAAAGTAGCTAGATCATGTTAAATCATTTCCGAATTAATAAAATCGTTGCTATTTCGACGTTTAACAAGATGTCGTCATGTATGGACGCCTTGACACGTCACAGTTTGCATGGTATGTTTTATGCTGGTATAACTATATTGAATATACAAATTTCCAGTCATACAGCTAAGTAAAATCATTTAACTCTTGAGGATGCGAAATATATATTATATATATATATATGAGCGGACGTGACTATACAGCGCACCATGCGCGCATTTGCCGAACAAATATTGGTCATGAATTTTGCAAGTCATGAAGTTTCGCATGACGTCGCGCGTAATTAAAATCTTTGGGCAGAATTGAAGCCCTCAACCTGCGTTTGCGCTCGGGATATAGCGCTAGGAGAGTTGTTGTATAGAGCCCAACGAAATAGCGATTCAGTTAAAAATAATAAGTTTTAAATGCATTTGATGCTCGCGCTTGAAGTCATATTGATGTGATATAATTATGAACCACTAAAATATCCCGTATAATTACTCAAAAAGGCAATACATTGAGACCCCGACTCTCTCGCTTTCGATACCTATACCATGCAGGTTTGCAAAATCCTAAACCTAATTCCTAGTTCTAGTGCATAGATATTAGCATCTTGACCTTCAAACTTTTACCGTTTGAAGAACATTTGCTTAAGTTCGGGTTCAGGCCCTTTAACTCAAATTGTATACGCGCAATATGCCGGAAAGACCGAAGCGTGTGCGTCTAGTGCCAGACTGTTTTGCCTTTGAATCCACTCTGATATCTAGTCCAAAGCGGCAAAGCCAGCCAAAAAAAAGGAAGGACAATGCGTAGTATGACATTGAGGTAGAAGAAGTCGACTAGACAGAAATCTAGTGCGGATTCACTACAAAGGCTACTTAGGCTAGCTATAGCAGCGGCCGCTTAGCCTCACGGCTCACGCGACAACGAATAAATAATATACATGTATTAATACAACGATAAACCAAAATAACAAAGATTTAACGGAAGTTTTGACATAAATTGTAAAAAATATTCATATCATTTATAAATATTTATAATTTTATACACTTACTTGCTAATATGATATGCTAATCACAGCTAATGCCGGGAACGTCTCATGCATGGGCATAATTTATAGTTTCCAGCCTGAGCTATTTCGAGCATTTTGGCAATGCTGGATATCAATAGCAAACTAAATGCCAACTTTAGTAAATTGACTCGCATTTTGACAGGCCTAAAATGCCTCGAATAAAATGTAGCTTTCCTTTCGAACTATTTGAATTTGGTTCCAAATCGTGCACAGAGCATGCGTATTTGGAAATATGCCTCAATCCCCGAAACTAATGCCGCGCGCATTGTATAAAGTCCTAATAAAATATCGCTCTACTGTCTCATTTGAACTCGAAAATGACGGGCGTTAATTATGTCTGTTCACCAGGAGCAATCATTCAAAATAAAGCTTATATTACTAATTTTCATATGTCTTGGCAAGTTATTTCCAACATGTTCACACAAAGAGCAAGAAGCAAAAAACGGCAAAATTTACCGACATTTCGCAGCAAATTTGGTAAAATATGAGCCTCAAAAATGGGTATTAGGTATTTGTATTAATCAAATTTGACATTGAAACAACTGTATTAGCCACCTTAAAATTGGGCTTAACTGGAAATCATGGTTCAACAGACAAAGCCAGTTTTATCAAACTTAATTGTGTGTAATCACAAGAGAATTTCCATGGAAGTGTATAGTTGCTATATTCAGTGTATTCTTGGTGCATGTTACCGATGATTTTTTAAAATATTTTCCGTTTTTGCAATTCTGATATAATCGAACATGATAGAAAATCTCTTTGTCTTTTTATCATATAATATTTTATCACACCACCAATTATTATATCGATAATTAGCTTATAGCTTATAACAACTAATTTGTTTATAATAGTTTTTCCAGCAACACAATTTGTAGTTTTACAAAAATTCTGATCGAACTATTTCTGAGGTATTTCGCCTGGTTGGATGAGAGCAAAAATATACGCTTTTCTTTATGTCTTTATCAGAGGTGTAGGCGGGGCCGGAACCCTGCTCCACCCCCTGGTGAAATTTTTCCCTCTCTCCTGAAAATGAATGGATTTATATCATTGTTATTCTGTCACAAAAAAACTTGTAGGTGATTTTGCTGATCAAAATTAGCCATCATTAACTCAACAGAATTCCGCACATAAAGTTTTGCACAAAATTTAAATTTGTCGTCACACCGGCGATCTGGACCACCTAGATTTTCCAGCCCTGACCTCTTTCCTGGCGCTTCTGGTCATCATGTCTTAAAATTAGAAATTAAACGATCTGCCTGTTAAATGCGACGATCTACCGCAAAGGTTGAATCTGTTCAAAAATTCAGTCATCACTGTGAAAACTACTCAACGAAACCAACTTATTGTTATGTTACTCAGCTTCAAACAATTGTATTTCTTAAACAACGATGGAATATAGAGGCTCTATTGCACTGAAAGATGTCGCCTTTATTGGATTAACTTTGAAGACATTTTGTCCAGTATTATACCAACTGAACCCCGAACCATGATAATCAGTGTTACTGCATGGTATGTCTTAAAAAAGTGTTTGTGACTTGGCTAATGACATGCAATCGTGTATGTAATTTTGGAAAAATGAACAATGTTGTATATAGTTCGTAAATGTTTTATTAGAACATAGTCTAAAACATATACTCAAATATGTCAAATATATCATGTATATACATATCATTCTAAATGATTTAATAATAAATTAAAAAAGGCTAATAATTTGAGAATCGGTGCAATCGGAATCAGTTTGTTTTCGGTGCAAAACATTGACATTCAATATCTTAAATATCGCATTCAATAATTAGATGTAAAATCACATAGGCCTGAAATTTCTTGAAGCGAATGGTTTTATATATAGCAAAAATAAAAAATACCGGATTCCATGCAGTTGTTGATGGTGCTACGAAGAGTAAAAATAACCAAAGAGCGATCTGATCTGCATAAACTGCGTATCAAACTGTACCAGCTACATGGAGCCACAGAAACTTTGAGTGAAGGTCCGGTGAATCCAAAAGGCCTAACATCATATTACAGTGAACAAAAAAAAAGTTACTATCAGCTTACCCCACTGCAAAGCCAAGTTAAGGTGGCTCCCTACAGTTGCTCGAATTTCTTAGATGCCCATTTCATATAGGGATATTCAGCATATAAACATTTGACTGGAAGACTAAAATTTTATATACCTTTCTGGGGCCGGTTGTTCAAAGCTGGGTTAGCGCTAACCCTTGGCTAACCCTGGGTTAGGTAAATCTTACTCCGCTGTTTTGGTTTATATGCCTCTGCACCACTGTTTGTTTCAAGACTTTACAAAATAAGACTTCTATTAATCGACAAAATATTTACGAAAAAATATGTTCAACTTCATAAACAAGCGATTAAAAAAATTGATTTAAAATTTTAAGTTAACCCTGAGTTAAGCTAGCCGGCTTTTGAACAACCGGCCCCTGGCAACATACCTAGAGCTGAAATCTATTCAGAACTTGTGCCTGGCAGTCGTTGCTATAGCAACACAGAGACGTTTCAAAATGGCAGCTGAAAAGCATTTAATCCAGTTTAAATCGCAAATGAGTTCGGTGACCCCCATTTTTTCCATCAAAATTTTAAACTATAGATGGTTTATCAATAGTGAACTTTTAGAAGTTTGTTAAAACTTTACTATCGATAAAGCATCTATAGTGTAAAATTTTCATGAAAAAGTGGAGTCACCGAACTCATTTGCGATATAAATTTTATAAACTCGATTAAATGCTTTTTAGCAGCCATTTTGAAACGTCTCTGTTGTTATAGCAACGACTGCCAAGCGCAAGTTGTGAATGGATTTCGGCTTTTGGTATGTTGCCAGGAATGTACATTTAAAATTTTCGACAAATTGTAGGGAGCCACTTTGCAAACAGTATCAACTGTTGCATAGCCGTGACCTATTGCTTCAGTAGAACTTGAGATCAGTGATCCCCAAAGAATGTAAGACAGTGAACTCAAATAAAACTGGAACGCTCACTCTATGACTTTCCCTCATTGATGAGTGAAGCCAAGATGGCGGATCATGACGCCTTTCTTGTAGGTATGATCCAGGCCTCTGGCGCGGAAACTTCAAAGGAAAAATCAGAATTCCCGACAAAATTTCCGCGTGGAGGCCTGGATCATACCTACAAGAAAGGCTTCATGATCCGCCATCTTGGCTTCAAACTTCCGGCAGAGTGAGCGTTCCAGTTTTATTTCAGTTCACTGATGTAAGATAATTGATCTGATTGGTATGCGGTTTTTAATACAAAATTTATTACGGTCAAGCGCATTTCTGTTTACATTTGCGATTTAGGCCGTTCAGAGCAAAACCTCATTTGGTTCAACATAATTTTTCCAGATTAACTGATTAGCTTTCTCAATAAATATGAAAAAAATATAAAAGACGAAAAACAGTACAAGTGTACGGGTTTGTTTACTTTCATGGCTGAAACCTGCTTCAATGTGTCGTATGCAGCTGCATATGCCTAAGAGTCGTGATCTTGGCTTGAATTTACAACATAGACAAACTATTAAATGATATTAGGACATCACCGGCGTCCTTTCTGATGTTGTATAATTGAAGAACAGTGGTTGTGGAACACAATGAGCAAATCCTCAAACAAGAGGTTCGTATTAATATACGTTTTCCTTTGAAGTATTTGTGCAGGTTGCAGAAAATAATGCACTTGCTTTTGGTTATTATTTCAGGATTATATTGCTATACTTTGGTTTAAATAATGCATCTAATAAATTATTAATATACATGAATATATCAAACAAGCTCCTTTAAGCCATAGACATACTTCAACCAACCAGCCTTGGGAGAACACAATTTGTGTAGTAATAAAAATATAAATAAATTTATACAGCAAACTATTAGCATTGAATTATTATAAAATCATCACTTGTTGGCTGCAGTTTACCAAGGCCAACCTATGCATCTTTGCAACAGCAGATCAAACCTCCAAAGAACTCACAATTAAGTCAATAATTGTTTGCATGAATATGCCCGGTTGTCAGTGCAATCTTTGTGTTAGATTATTTTCATTATTTGAATTACCAGAGTAGTGATCGATAAGAGCAATGGGCCATAAAAGACGAAAAACGGTACATAAGAGCAATTGTGCGATAAGAGCAATTGTGTACATATTTTGTAGTAGTGATAAGAGCAATTGTGTACATATTTTGATATATGTTGCTTCCTAAAAACATAACCATTGGATGCACACATGCTTTTTAATGCATAATTATATAACATAAAAAGATATGTTATATGTTTAACCCACTAATTTGAAGATGGTTTAAATGTTCAAATGTTTCTCGACACAACAAAATCTAATTCATATTCATTTATCGAAGCATAATTGTGTCAGATTATTTAAAGCCCATTTTCCACTAGGTAAATTTATTGGCAAAACACAAATTGAAATCTGAAATCCATGCAGTGATGTGATTGGCTTCACTTGTGAAAAATTTCCCGCAAAAAGTAGAATTGCCTCCTACTTTTTTTTCTGTTTTTGCGAATAAGTTTGCCTATATAGTGACGAACGGGCTTAGTGCACAAACAGTTTTTCATGTTTCAAGAAATATATTCTGTTCAGCACAGTTCAAAATGTTAAAGATTAAAGCATTCTCTAAGATATTCTTGCGTAATGATTGAGGCAACTAGTTGTTCGATCGTTTAATGTTATTCAAAATATGCTATAGTATGCACATATATGGACCAATGAATAACATATATAATGTAATAAAATAAAACTGTAATAATTAAAATAAAATATAGTATTATTCAGTTCTTGAGAGTCCTATTTGGTTTTATAAATCATAACTCACTATTTAGAACTTGCTTGTAAATGAAAAATTTATACTGGTCAGATGTTTTCAAGTAGAAATTTTTAGCATAAAGCTATATAGAGATCGATATCTTAATACCTAAGATTGAAACAGAGGTCATAGTGTGGCTTTCCTAATTTGTTCATTAAATTAAATAAATTATTACAGCAATGTACTGGGATGCCTAATATGTGGATTATTATATGAATTAAGATTGAGCGATGAGGTACTATACATGATAAATATCATATCAATATCAATGTCATTATATTTCATTTAAATCTGATAGCAGTTCTAGGATTGCCCAGTTGTCAGAGCAACTGGAAAGGCTGCTAGCTGTGGAGAAAACATCAAGAGACTTGGAACAACTGCGTTATGTCACACTCAAGATGTACCAGCTACTGCAAACACAAGGTTTGACTATGTTTTTGCTAATTAATATTCTAAATATTTTTTTTCAAAATACAAATCCAGCTACAGTGTATGTATACATTGTACCAGTAGCTAGCTAACCACGTTGGTCATATTCGGCAAATTTTCTCCCAGTAAAGAGGGCTCAGTTTTTCAGCGGTCTTCGCATAAAAAATTAAAAGCTTTTCGTTTTACGCCTTGCTCTCAATTTTATGTAAGTTGTCCGCTGACAATATGAGCCTGCACGAGTGGGAGAAACTTAGCTAAGTTGGACCAGCGTGAACACCAAGAAGCTGAAATTAAACAAGATTCAAATCAATCTGGAACTAATCAATTTCTGTATATTCATATATAATATGCAGTCTCTGTATATTATATTATATATAAAATTGCTATATATATATATATATATATATATATATATATATATATATATATATATTTATATATATATATATATATATATATATATATATATATATATATATATATATGCTATATATTTTTAATATTTTAGATAAAGCCAAAAAGGAAATGATAAATAAAATATGTGAGAAAGCAGCAGTGTTACTGGGCCTTTTAGAGGTAAGGAGGATCCATTGTTAAGCACTAACCTTTCTGCTAAATTGTAGTAAATTTAATAGAAGTAGAATGTATTGGCACAAAAGTGGGTGATTCAGTTATTTTTAAGAGTGGTGATACAGTAAAACAGATAGGGTTAATTATAATTAATTAAATTGGGTTTTTTGGTGAATTGGTTAACAAATGAAACTTATGGTAATAGATTCTAACATTTTCATTACGGTATGTAAATTTGGATGACAGCATTTTGGCAATGGCAATGCCTCCTCCCCCACAATTGACCAGAAAAGAGATAGTACTGAGATATAGATATATACAGTTAGCAGTTAGCAACAACAAATATAGGAAGTTTGAAATTTTTTTGTACCTTTCACTAATTTCAGTACCTTTCAGCATTTTGTTCATTTGAAGATAGACTTTTTTCCCCAGGGAGAGATTTTGTTTAATTTCAAATCGCACTGATACCCTGACGCCATCTTGAAATTTAAATAAACTACACTTTCTGACTACTGTCAAGCAATGTAGTTATAATTCTTTATTTTCATTCGGCTATGCAAAAATGCCAAACAAGTCGTTTGTGAACCCGATGAGTAGTATTTTTTAAAAACCGAAAAAAAACCCTGAAAATTTCCGAAAATCGGACAATGTCAACGTGTTGATGATCACGCTTTCATTTTACGCTGCCTAATCTGCGGCGGATCAAGTTACTCGCATTTGATTGGTTAACAAAAAATCGGACGTCTGAGAAGACAAGTGACGGTATGAGTCATCACTAAATTGATCAATCTTGTTATCTTTTGAAATATATTTTATATTTCGCGGTTTCAAACTTATGTCAGAACTGTATAAACTTGGTCTCATGTACTATTACTAGACTCACTACAGTAATACTTTGCAAGAAGAACAGTGTTAGTATTCACTAATACTTTACAAGAAAATGACCATGCAATATTCATACACAAGTGTCAAATTGGGCTTCTAACTGTGCTTCAAATAAACAGCAGTCGGCCTACACTGCCTTTTCCCCAAATCTTTTTTAGAAACATATTTCGTACATTTTTAAATATTTTATCACTGTTTGGTGTAAAAGGTAAATATTTTGTGGCTGAAATATTAATTTGTAATTTACTTACTTCCTGCAAATGGACGCCTTTCGCCGAATTCCCAAGTTCACTCTTCTGTTTATCAGCGAAAATCATTTGAATCCTTCCGAATATGAAAGTCGGTCAAGACATTATAATATTGTTTACATTTTTAACTAATTTCCAGAAGTTTCATGTAGATTTCAACTGTTTAATATTCGACAACGTAAAACCCCAACGGTGCTGTAATAACGAGTAATAATAACATGCATCTGTTGGATTTCTAGAACTGCAATGACACTCAACTAATGTTGAATATTCTGGGTTGCTGTTTAGAAATATCAGCTGGGGGTAAGATGGCTTCTTTAGTACTTTTAGACGCGTCTCTTTAATAACCGTTGTCTGTCTGTTGGTTGGTCGGTCAGACTTTTGGTCCCCATTTTACTTTTAAAGTATGCAGGACATGAAAATCCTTGCATGACATGATTACACTCTGGCGCACGCGCAGTTCGAAGCTGTATCGGCTTATTATACGTACTAATCACGTGCATGACATATCGGCAAAGTTTCACTACCGACAGAAAGTTGTAAGCACTCGTTATTGGTATTGTGTACTTGTTCACATCCTGTAAACATGTCTTTAGAAAAATTCATTCGAAATCATTTGACAGCTTCAGTGGACTATTCGAATAGAATCGTTCATCAATGTTTAAAAGTTATATAGGCCAATTCTCCAAGAAAATTTTCCGTTTTAAAAAGTCTTTTGAGGGCTTCAAGTGGATTTCTAAGGTATTTTCTCTGCTTACATGTCTCACCTGTTTCAGGAAAGAAATGTGTAGCAACTTTAGCAGGACATGGGGCAGTCGACATTCTTCTCAAGATTCTTAAGATGGAAATATCTGAACCATCAATTGTGGAAGAAACTTTAGTCTTGGTTCATTCAATTCTTGCTAGGATTGCACCGAAAGGTAGGTAAAGCTACATTTCGATGATTTCACAGTTTTTCTGTAATCAGAATATTTCAAACTTCGTTTTGAAAATCGGTGTTCGTATAAATTCGTACGTGGCAAATTTAAAATATCGCCGATGTTCACAAGCTGTTTTCAAGTTCGTGCTTCTGGTGGCCGGGTCAGTAATTAAAATGTTTTATCTCTTGAATTTCTTCAATACAAATATTCATATTTCAGTCGATGGAAGCTATAGTACGTGCTGCATGAATTCCTTTTTCCACCTGCGCAATAACAGTATGCTGTAGTATTTGTATACTGTACGTGTACACGCTCAGCTTGCTTTCAATATGTGAATGTCAAATAACGGAACTTTTCTTTCAAATTCACCCTGTAGTATTCGACGAGATTTTTACTTCCTCGTGTTGCTTGGATGATATTAAATTTGATTTTTTTTTCGTTGCATGCTTGTTTTAGATCGAAAGTTTGCGCTGAAATCTCGGTTAACTGGCGCGTTGCAAATCACAATGGATGTAATCAGACAAAATGCCAATAATTTTAAAGTTCTCCATCCTGCTCTGTTGGTGATCAAAATTTCCGCCGGAAGCAGTAAGTCAACTAATCACATCTGTATAGCGTTACAAACTCCATTGCTTTGACCCAGTTCATGCATGTTAATTTAACATTCACCTTAGAATTAGGGTGAATGTTAGGGTTTTGTTTTTCCTGTAAGCAAGATGTTTTCATCTTTCTCGAACCCGGCAAGTGCGAGTATAAGCATGCATCCTTCTCCTTAAGACTATAAAGCGTTTTATTTTCGACGCAATGAACGAGCTGTGTACCTTTGTTTTTGTAGTTAAATGTAGCGAGATTTTGTTTAACAACTCAGAACGAGATTTTTCATGTCATTCAAAAACCATACTTGTATAACAACACTACAAAACGTGTTAAACTGCTACTATAATATACAATACAAAGTGTTTTTAAAAGATCACCATTGCAAATTCAAGTTAGTTAATTAACCAAACTCCAGCCTGCTACCCCAGGCGTTTTGATGCTTTAATGCTTCGAAAATGGCGTGCGTGGGCGACGAGGCTGGCCAAATTCTCACAATCTCTGTGGTTGCACAATTCATATTGATCATTTACATACAATCTATCCAGGTGTGAATTGCAACGTCCTAAACAAGGCAGGATTTATCAATATATTATTTCGCATACTCTCTAACTGTGGACATAAACGTGTCACAACTTTGAAGTAAGTATTTCTCACAAACTAACAAACCATTGTTAATTGCACGGGATAGCTAGATGTTACATGTGTTCTTGTACATTTAAAATGTTCTGGATCAAATTTGTGTTCTTTTACACTAAATTTGTACATTTTTAGGCTCGTTCTTGATCTAATTGCTATTCTTGTAAAGTCAAGTAAGTGACATGCAGCATTGTATATTGTAATGCTGTACGGTTCTTGTTATATGATCATCAAATGCAGCTCCATTCATTTCTGAAATGCCTTTTAATCTCCCTTTATAGAAGGTGTTGCAGCCAAAGCGGTAAACTTAAGCGGAGTTGAAATTCTCCTCCGCATGTTTTATGATTGGCATAGAACAGATCATCATAACAGACAAACTGCAATCAGGAAAGCTCTGCTGAACTCAATGAAAGCACTTGTATCTACAAGTAAGTTATTTCACGTGTCAACTATAAGCATAGGCCTATATTGGATTATATTGGACCTATATTGGCCCATAAATTTTGAATTTCAAGATGCCAATCTTTGGAATATACTTTGTGTTTGATGTATAACTTTCTTTTTTTCAGGGGCAGGTAAAGCAGCGTTTCTGCAATCAAATGGGATGAAGACACTTTTTGTGTTGACCAATGATACCAGTGAACGTAAGTAATATGATGATGAGTTAATCGATAAGTTATTGGATATTGAAACTTAATTATCAATCGACATTCGTTATATACATTTCTTTTCATGTATTATCATGTCAAAACATAAAGAAATGCTTTATATAAGAACGTAGAATTTACACAAAGAACTATGCGTGTTGTTAAATAGTTACAATTTCGATAATTACGTCACAGCATTATCATTTTAAATTTAGAGCCACCTTCAATGAGATGGATTTCAAGTTTTACTCTCACGAGCCACATGCAAAGATGGAAAACATGTTTCGTCAACATATGCATGAAAAATAATTTTTAACTTTGAGCAATAAGTGTGAAAAAGCCGTAACCCTAAAACGAGGCTACCGGGCCATGACCGGGAGCTTCGTTCTCCAGTAATGGCTCATTTCCACACTTTTTGTCAAAATGAAAAATTCCTTTTCATGCATGCGTTGAAGAAGGATGTTTTGCATCTTTGCACGGGGCTCGTTTTAAATTAAGGTTCTAATTTATAACGATAAAGTTGTGACGTAATTATCGAAAGGGTCTTTTGAAATACTAGTTTGGAATTTTGATATCTTAGGCTTGTCTCAGACGTCGAACTTTCCATGTACCGAACTTATAAACTAATATAGTTTTAATTGAGGACATATGATAAGTTCGACGTTTGAAACGCATTTGAAACGCACCTAAGCATTAAGCTCGATCGCCCAGGTCGTGCGGAACGACCAAAGCACGACAAAGCGCGACGTGTTTTCAAACGTCGAACCGATCATGTGCCGAACCAAATGTGCCTTCTGAGAAAAATCCGTTTTACCATTTATAATTTGGCGGTAAAAAATTTCGCGGTAAATTCTGCTGACCAGTGGCATTGAGCGCTCTGTAAAAAAATGCGTTAAAAAAGTACGGCAAAGCACCACGCTCTTGAAACCAACGTCGAACTTTATCGAGCTTGGTCGAACTTGGTCGATATTAAGTTCGGCACATGGAAAGTTTGACGTTTGAAACGTGCCTTAGTGATAATAATTATGGTATCTGTTACACAGTTTCTCTTAGAATCTAAAGAATCTGGAATCCCACTAAGGAATCCTACATCTTCTGAATAACTGAACCTACATCACAATATTTCAGCTCAGTTTTTCAATAAGTAATTCTGCATGTTTCCATTTTGAAGTTATCCACCGATTAGCTAAAGTGCTAAACACCCCTCGAATAACTGGCTCCTGACGACGTACAGTACGATATAGATCTCCTCGGTAGACATAATTGGAGACATATAATCTTTCTCTGTGTTCCTAGACAAAGAAATGGACGGTATAAACAGCGTAATAGTACAGATCCTGAGGTTATGCATGCCAGAGAACACTCTTCCGTTAACCAGTAACCGAACTATGATTACGTTTGAACTGCCGAAGATTATTGGGGAGAGTGCCTCAGGCGATGACAATGGGTCTGAAGAAGTAGAAAAGGACAGTGAAGGTATCTACTGTATGTTCATAGCGTCGAATCACACTGGTTTTGAAATAAAACCCAGACCTGCATGTATCCCTTGGTTGAGAAGTTTCTTAGGCTATAAGCACAGCACCGGAGGAATTTGAGTTCACACAGAAAAATGAGTGAAAATTTGGCTGATTCACTGTGTTCAAACGAGATAACTGGACAAATTTGAGCACGATACCAAATTCATCTAGTCCCGTGTGAAGACACCCTTTGTTCAAAGTTTTTTTTTCATACGTAGGTAATAATTATGCCCACTTTTCTCATTATGTGCAATTCTGTACATTCATTCTCAGAGGAATCATCTCCACTGGAGTCCGAAGATGAAGATGTTGGAGTGACGGAAAGTCAAGAAGATTCAGAGTATATTTCACAAAGTAGAGCGGGCCCTGCTGCTGCTGGTGAAAATACAACGAATAAAACGCGAAGTAAAGCTGAGCTGGTTTCCATGTATCATCAGTTCTTTCAAGAGATGACTTGCACCAGGGTGAGAGTCAACTTATAATTACCGTGAGATGCGCAATCTAACGAAAAATCTCCCTTGGCTATTAAACTGAATTTAAAACATGGAAAGTTCATGAGTACAGATTTCCAAACTTGGAAAGTAAATAGTTTTTCGCGAAATATTCTAAAGTGTGAAACATATAGCCGTGGAAAGTTGGCTAGTCATTATAGCTCTTGTCGAGTGCCCGGGAAACAATGATATGGGCTATACTACGCTACGATACCGTAGAAAAAGCGTTCAATCCACAACATGCATACATGATTGCCCTTGATACATAGATAATGATTTACCCAAAGCACCGATTGAGTAAATTAATATTTGCATGCCGTGTATGAATAATGAATTAAGATAAGTTCAATACGAAAAACACAGTTAAATGATGCAGCTATACTACAAACAAGCGGAATAGAACTATTGTGTGTTTTCACTCGCTCTAAAATTGCCCATTGTTCGGTAAAACCTTGTTCGTCAAACCATTCCATTTTTAAATTAGGCATTCTCTGAATTAATTGTTATCTTTAAACATGTAGTCTCATTGATTTTCTGGTATGTTTACAACGGTTGAAAAAACCGCTATCCGGTGGAGAGCGCTATCCAGCTTGTAAACATGCTCGCATCAACATATCAGTTTTGTGTCACCTTTTTTTATACATAAAGGTCCAGTCCGGTAGTATCTAACATGTGTTGACATGCTTTCTAGGAGAATAAAGAAGAATGCAATTCTGAAGATACTCTTGGTCGAGACAATTCTGCGGCAATTAAAAAACCAATCGTTATTCCAACGGCCAAACTGGACTTGACCTCGTCATCGTCGTTCGACCACTGCAGCAATCACTTGGCGGACGATTGTTGTGGCTGCGAAGAAAATGAATCTCCCAGACAGGATCCTTTATGGTGTGTAGAGCATGAAGCATGTGATAATTCTGTATGTTTCGCGATTATACACTGTATTTTATACAGTATATAGCTTGTCGTTGCTAGGACAAACACGCATGTTATTTGTTCTGATAATGGCGTGAAATGACAGATTCTTTATAAAAATTATACGCTTCAGGAATACTGTTCTCTTGAAAAAAACTATATAAATATAATATTCAGTCAATCCGGTAATTAGCTGTAATGTTTTTTTTTCATTTCACGGTTTCATGTTTTAATCAATTTTCATGTCTGCATCAGCATATCCCGTTTCCAGTTGGTGACGATTTTACCCGGGCTGGCTTTTAGAGAGAGGCTGAACCTGCATTTTCAAAACCATTTGCCAGCGGTATTTCTAGTTTTCTAGATATCTAGGTTTTCAAGGTTCTCGCTAAATACCTCTTTGCTACCTCAAAAATGAACTCGTATAAGTACTGTACTTTTTTATTTTTATTTTAATCGTCACCTGTTTTCAAGGTTCTCGCTAAATACCTCTTTGCTACCTCAAAAAATGAACTCATTGAAGTACTGTAGCTACTTTTTCTTTTTATTTTAATCGTCACCTGTTTTCAAGGTTCTCGCTAAATACCTTTTTGGTACCTCAAAAATTAACTCATTTAAGTACGGTACTTTTTTCTTTTTATTTTAATTATTTTAGTGATGAGGAAGATTTCTTAGCGGGTGGTTCAGTATCATCCCCCAAGGCAGTGTCGTATACAACTGGAACTCATGACAATAAATCAAGACCCTCATTACGAGATGGCATTTACGATATCAGAATGAAAGTTCGAAGTGTCTCTGAATTTGTCAAGACACCTTCGCCTGATGTGTACGGACACTACCCACCGCTACACCCTGAACCTCTTTATACCAAGAAACCTGGAATACAAAGGTCAGTGAAGAAACTTCTCTATTGCATTTGTAAAAACGTTAACTGCACGACAAAATTCAGGCTGTGGAATAAAACCCTTTATAAACCTGAAATACAATAAAGCACGCGTCATGCGGTAACGCGTGACATTTTTTTGATCCAACAATCAGTTAATCACTTTTCCCTAAAAAAACTGACATTTTCCACTTGCTTGAAGTCTCTTCCTGAAACATTATCTTTATTTTTATTTTCATGAAGTCGATCATCATCATAGTAGCGTAGCGAGCCTGACAATTTAATCCCGCTATGCTAATTAGCGGGATTAAATTGTTAAATTATTTAAATTCTATTGTCATAATTTTAAATTCTATTGTCATTTTAAATATAACCTAGGTTTGCATGCGATTTAATAATTAACTCAGGTCCTTTTTGAAAATCATCTTGTATGAAAAAGTTTCCTGAATAAATATTATTTTATTATTATTATTATTAATATTCTATGTTCATTTTGAGAACAGTGAATTTCTAAAACAATGAATAATTAACGATAACCACTAATTTTCATGGCGCGGTTAAATTGCTACGCTGCTGCATCGTCTCCATTTTCCCGGCAGATTAACTCTTTTAGTGAATGTGGAACTAAACCTAAACTTCGCATGGTTTATCCCCCTAGGTCGATGTTGTTGAAAGATATCGAGCGTGTTCTTCAAGATCAGAAAGTGGTTAATAAAGTGGTGTATGATTTAAATCCTGAGACCGATATTGGTCCTGCAACCGCGTCAAACGGCCGGGAATGTTCTTCAGATATGACACGTGGTTCAACAAGGTAATACAGAAATGGTCGCTCTGAAAATAAGTTCTGATTTTAAATGTTCAAGAGGAATTGCCCATATGCCTTTTCTCTAATGGGTGAATGATATAAATAAAATTTTAAAACCTAAATTTCTATGATATTGATTTTATTAATTTTTTACAATCATGCATAATGAAGTAATAAAACATTAGAATAATTTTGCTACTAAATTCAACAGTATTTCCACACAGCCTGAGAGCGTACAGTAGCATCCGGACAGTGCCTTTTTTATTTACTTCAATCAAATTACTATCATTTAGCTCTATTCGTAGTGACAAAGAACAAAAAGTGAATGGGAAAAGATCCCTTTCCTTTGAATCACGATTTGAAAGTGGAAATCTACGCAAAGCAATTCAGGTTAGAATTTCTTTTAAATTATAAACTTCCAAATTATATCTCTAAGAAATGTAAAAAAGCTCGGAGCAAATCCAACATTCGGAAATTTCGTAATGCGTGCGTGAAAAAGTGTCGCACTATGGCCGTTGATTGAAATTTTTGCATTGAGGCAAAATCAGCAATTTATAAAGGAGAATTTCTTTCGCAAAAAACACATGCACAGCGCTGATCGAAGGCCGTTTCCTGAAGATCATGCATGGACTACAGTAGCTGGGATGGATTGTCTGATTGTATATGCTATTTTATTTGTTATTCGCGTAATGGTTTCATCAATTTTTTCAGGTTTGTGAAAAGGAATACGATCTTATCCTGAATTCTGATGTCAACTGCCGCAGTCATCACCAGTGGTTTTATTTTGAAGTACGTTTATAACTTTCCCTCCCACCTGGACTGTTTTCAATGTAATGATGTAATGCTGCATGTCTTCAATGTAATGACTGTTTTTATAACTGACTTCCAGTTTCTCCAAGAATTCTAAATATTCTAGGTCGGAAACATGGAGGAGAATGTTCCGTACAAGTTCAATATTATCAACTGTGAGAAGGTTAATAGTCAATTCAATTTTGGTAAGTTATACTTTAGATAAAATATCATATTCAGGTTTCGAGATGCTCTTCGCTTTTAAATGAAAATCATGTCTATTTACTTTTTGCCAATTTTGCGAAGGTATAATCAAACCCTTTGTTGCCCTAGCGATGTCTTATGATACAATTATACCATGTAGATGTTTCCACTGTTTAGTCTTATAGCTTTAGTCTTATGCAAAGCCGTAGCTGCATTCACGACGCAAATCACATCTTAAATATCTCTTCATATGCATGTTCTACTCTATATAAAGGTATGCAGCCAGTATTATATTCATACAAGGACGCTGAAGATGGTGACCCTGGCTGGATCAGAACAGGATCAGACATTTGTTACTACAAGAATCATTATAAACGACCATGTTCCAATCCGAAGACAGAACGGGAAAAATATTACTACACGCTCACATTTACGATAGAATTTCCATATTCAGATGACCGCTGCTACCTTGCATATCATTTTCCATATTCATTCTCCTTGCTCGAGGTGAGTCTAATATACAAACATAATTAGGGTATTTTCCCTAAAGTGATCTCACTTAATTTCATGTAAACTATATTAAAGAGAGAATTAGCCATATATAACTATTTCGTCTTTCGTTGAACTTTTTTTGCTAGGCATATATTTGAGACTATGTATGTTCCTGCATGCTCTTCAGTAACACTCCTGTTTATTCTACTCAAGTTTTATAGTCCTTTTTAACTCTAAAATTAATGCTATCCACCCCTAAGACCCACTCAAAAGATGCTTTCATTTTTTCGTCTCGTGTAACCATGGTCGTGACAAATTTTTGGTGACTGCATGGCTAAACTTTTCACAGTGTCATTTTGTTTTATTTTTTTAACCTAAGTATAGCTAACTTTTGGTGGAAAGTGGATAACACGTGTGACTGTACCTTCCCGAAACTCAATGTTTAAATTTCTCATGAAATCAACTAGTTTAACCTGCATGGATGAGCTTCTTATACCATTTTAATATTTTTCAATTTCTTAGAACCATTTACTGACATACGAATATCGTCTTGATCCTGAAAAAATCCTGTATAAACGGCAGGTTATTTGCGATACGTTAACGGGAAATCCATGTTATCTAATTACAATAACCTCACCAAACTCTAATAACGGTAAGTCATAATCTTGGAAGATTTGGAAGCGTCCATTTCCCATTTCATTCACGGCACCTTCTGTGCAGTCTTGTGGTAGAGTTAATGAATCAGGTATTGTAATGCCCTGTTCGTGGTCAACTGACCTAAATCTGTCAAGGTACACTGTATATCGGAGCTCTTTTGCAGTATGGTTTGGCCTTTGACGTGTGCTTTTTTACGCATGCTGTAGCATCACTACATGCCTGTATATATCGCTATATTGGTTCACAAATATACTTCCCCTTAGCTTTGCTTCTGGCTGGTATTTAGTATTGATATCTTGTTCACCCACACACACGACTCGTGTTGTACTGTATTTTTAATATGATTTTCATCATGCTGAGCATAATATACCCATACCTTCATCAAAAAATTAGAGTCCGTTCATTTCCCTTTTCAGATAACCGGCCGTATATATTTCTGTGTTCGAGGGTTCATCCAGGAGAAAGCAATGCTAGCTGGGTAATGAAAGGTACAGTAATTATTCTGCAGAACCTCCCCCCCCCTCCCCAGAGATTTTCAAGAGAAGAGAACGCCCTACTTTATCTTGGGGGAACATGACTAGCTGAAAGAATTTTATAGATGATGCCTGAAAAATAGGTGCTCCGCATATGTAGCCAAAAATGATTTATGTCCAGTTTCATATTGCGATCTGTTACGCTCGTTGTTACGCTGATTGTTTGATTAATTTGATACCATGCAATGGTATTCATAAACATTTGTAAACTCAAATAAAGTTCAGATCATTCAATGCACAGTTATTAGAATATAGATGGTTTAGAGACTAGATGGAAGTACAATACAACTCATTATCTATCTTATTGTCCATGTTTGTACAAAAAATGGTTCCTTATCCGTCACATGTCTATTGTATTTTAGCTCAACTAACCAATAGCAATAGCTTGGCTTAGCTCCTCAATCGTGACTTGAACAGCATGTTAATTCAGATCTTACTATTGGTTTATTTGTTCAAAATACAATAGACACGTGACGAATAAGGAACAATTTTTTGCATAAATGTTCCCCGACATAGATCATGAGTTCTATTGTACTTCTATGTAGTCTCCAAACCATGCATACTCTATTAACTGTGTTCAATGTAACGTTGCTTTCTTTGTTTTCTTGAGAATTCTTTCGAACGAATGCATAGGTATATAATTCTCAAGTTCAAACGTTCTTCGGAAGAATAGACCGCAATATAGAACTGGAACTCGATTACCCCAGGCCATCCGGGGGGGTCTGAAGTGATTTTGCGCATAAGACGACGGCATGTACCAAGGATTTTCTTTTCGTGAAAAGCTTTGAGAACGAGGTTTAAGAGTGTATCATATGTTTAGCTTTTTATTTGTCAAACGGAGATCTTAAACGGGGCTTGCAACCAGCCGACAGATTTTCTAATGCTTCAAGGGACTGTTTATATAAAACTTGCAACTGCATTTTGCGTAATTAAAACGTAGTTAAATACAAAATGCACAATTCTGATTGGCCAAATCAGCTAGTATACCTTATTATACAACCGTTTTTTTACGCAATGTTTTAATTAATTTATTATTCCTTTTTGTTTCTCTCAAATTTATACCAATGATAGGCAACTCTACTTTCAATATATTACGTTACCTTTTACGATTATGGGATTTAAAATCCATGCAGTACAAATCAAATGCAAGACATGCAGGATTGTAATCAATGTATAATTTCTGTCTATTCATTTTATTATTACATTACATACATTATGTCTAGTTTGCACAAAGTAAACCTTGAGCGTTTCCTCTTCGGATCAACCCGATGTAAAAATTCATCACTGAATTACCGAATCTAAGTCATTCTTTGATATCGTTCTGATTTTGATAAAACGTAGTTATGCTTAATATACTGCTGCAGTTGGCCTCAATCTTGCTTCATGCATTTGTGGAAGTTCCTGCCAGCTATATCTATCAAACCTGAAACATTCCACACATCCTCTCCCCTTCACCCCACCCATGACTATTACAGTATCCTTCACAACCACTGCCGAACATCCTTGCCTCTTATACTTCATGTCTGGTAGAAAATGACTCTCTTGTGATTTGATGTTGTATATCAGGACGGTGCTTAATGCGTTGCCGTTACCATCAGCACCACCCATTATGATGGCGTTTTCTTCACCCCACTTCACTGTGGCCATGTCGCTTACGGGGTAAGGGAGCGGTGACAACTCTTTGCATTCATTCTCCATGATGTCATATAAAAGAACACTTTTGAAACACGTGTTAATCGATAGGGTCTCTCTTCCTCCAACAATCAGGATCTTCTCATCAAATATTGCAACACCATGAAGGCATCGTCTCTGTGGCATGGTACACAACAGTTTACTGGACATGTATGGTGGGGCGAAAGAAATTATGGTGATGCTCTGGGAGGATGCACGTTTATTACCATCATACCCACCAATCACTATCAACCGACCATGGTAAACTACACTTTGGTGTCCGTACAATGACCCGGGTAAATTAACAGGAACAATATCCCAGTTGGTTCTAGATTGGATAACTTCGTCATCATTTAATTGTAAGCTTTCAATGGATTCGTTATGCAAACCACCGATGATGAATAAGTTATCGTTGTGGACAAACGAAGATGCTCCTGCACGACGTTCTCTCATTGGCTGCAAATACGTCCACGTCTTTCTCGCCAAACTGAACATTTCCACCGATTTCGACGTCGACGTCTCACCTCCAGCTACAACAACTTTTGGCACTCTGTCCTCGCCATCAGTTTTGCCACCTTTTATTTCTAGTTGCTTCGTAATTTCGTTTAACATCGTCTTCATTTCAAGAACTTCCGCTTCAAGCTTACGATTACTTTCTTCCTGCTTCTTCAGTCGACCTTGTACAAACCTCTCTATTTCCGAAACATGGTTTTTCTCAACAACTATGTTGGTCATCTCATTTCGTAACATTCTGTCCTTTATCGACGTTATTGCTTTTTTCAGTGTAACCATCTCTTGCTTTGTGTCGTCACATTTGTGGCATTTCACCCTACGCAGTGCACACAACGATGTTTCATGATGGTCTAAATCTTGTTTGTTTGCCAGGAACTTACAACCTTTGTTTGAGCAAACTGCTGGTGCAAACCCACAGTCTGCCACATGTTTTTCAAGTTCCCTCAACGCAATAAATCGCTTACAACCGCGATGGAAGAATTCACAACGAATCTTGAGTTCCGATAATAAGTTTGCCATGTTCCGAGGCACTTTGAGAGTTTCAACAGTGAGTGGTTGCATACATGTGGGGCATGTTCGAGAATTCATGAGATGTCTGGTGATACAACCTCGGCAAAATACATGTTCATTATAGCGACACATGACCGGGTCTTTGATGACATTAGTACAAATGATACAATGCAGTGTTTGGCTGACAGTCTGTTCAAATCGTTGGTCATCATAACCAATATCGTAGGAGGCCAATGCCGCCATTTCAACACAAGTCGACGACGTTCGCGAACCAATGGAATGTGAACCTAAAGGTCAAGAAAACAATCCTTAAATCAATGAAATTTAATAGATTACTTTCGATTCCTATTAGTATTAAACAAAGATCAGTTCGGCATCGTTGTTATGTTCCTTTTATCTCTCGTGGTTAATAAATCGTGGTCTTACCCTTGGTAGTATAATTATCACAAGGAAGTGGTAGCTTGTATTAGGAGCTTTTGGAACTAATATTTAAACGAGTGTCTTTGGACGACTTTTGGCTATAAGAAGTTTGTGTGCTTAAGTTTGGAAAATACTTGAATTCCTGAATATTTAATTTCCCCATCATGCGGGATGTCGCTCTATGACAGGCTTCACGCTGAGATTAAATTTTAATTTGCTAACACACAAATATCATTTAATAATTGATACGGTAGGATACACGGAATGCGGATAGACGAGATCTAGGCAACACAAACGGCATGAGTATCGTCAAAAGACTGGGTCAAGGATTGTGATTGGTGAAAAACAAAAACTTTACTTCCGGCCAAAAAAACTTTTCTTCCGTCCACTCACTTATAACATAAATTGCGAAATCTGCTTCTGAGGACTTTAATGTTTATTTCATAAAAAAATTATTAAGCTATGGACATTGTCTTTTGAATTATTTAGTTAGTGCTAATAATCACAATCCTACTGTATTTTAATACGTGTGCTATTAGAATTTGGATAATATTGGAATATGCAGTTCAATTCTAGAAAATATTCTGACAGTTAACATACAGTCGCAGTAGCCCTCCATCTTGCAACCTGCATTGGGGGAAGTTCTTGCCAACTATAACTGTCGAAGCTAAAGCATTCTATAGACCTTAAATAATTTCCACTGTCATCTTCACCCCCATAACAACCACAATGTCTCCGACAACCACAGCCGCACATCCAGTTCTCTCATACTTCATGTTTGGTAGCATTCGAAATTTCTGGGTGCTGATGTTGTATATTAAAGCTTTGTTCAATGTTTTATTGTCATTATTGACACCACCGATTATGATAACATTGTCATCTTGCCATTTGACTGTGGCCATGTCACTCACAGGATAAGGAAGAGGGGCCAACACGTTATAATCTTTTGTAGTGATATCATACATAACAACATTGGTGAGAGTCGAGTTACTGGAGAAGCTTGTTATTCCGCCAACAATCAAGATCTTGTCACCGATCATTACAGCACCATGAAGGCATATACTCTGTGGCATGGTATACAACAGTTTACATGTGCAGTGTGGAACAAATGAAATCACTGTAATACTATTTGAAAATGCCTTTCTATTGCTATCATACCCACCAATTACTAGCAACCGTCCATGGTAGATTATACTGCGGTGTCCATACAACGAACCAGGTAATTCAGCAGGTACAATTTCCCACTGAAATGATGAGTGATCAACCTGAGCTTCATCCAATGATATCTTTTCCATGGAATTGTTTCCCAATCCACCCAAGACAAATAACTGATTGTCGTAAACAAAAGAAGATGCCCCTTGCCGAGATTTTTTCATTGGCTGTAGCTGTCGCCAGGTTTTATTCGCCAGATTGAACACTTCCACCGAACGTGATGTCGGCTTATCACCTCCAGCAATAACGATATTCTGTTTCCCGTCAACCAAATCAGCTTTTTTGCTTCGTTCTTTCAGTTGCTTCGTGATTTTATTCAAACATTTCTTCATATCCACAACGTCCACTTCAAGCTTACGGTTGCTTTCCTCCTGCTTGTTAACTTGATCTTGAACCAATTTTTTAACTTTCGAAAATACGGTTTTCTGAACGCGGTTGATGTTCATCTCACTTGTTTTCAACTCTTTTTCCATAATTTCCAATTCAAAATGTACACGCGACATCTCTTCTTCTATGGCATTACAACTGTCACATTTAACTCTGCGTGGATTACACGCATACTTTTCATGGTGTTCTAAATCCCGCTTGTTTACCTCGAGATTACAACCAATATTTGAGCAAACTTTTGGTGCAAACCCACAGTCTGCCACATGTTTGTCAAGATCTCCCAACTCAATAAATCGCTTGCAACCGCGATGGAAGAATTCACAACGAATCTTAAGTTCAGATAATAAGTTTGCTATATTCCGAGGCACTTTGAGAGTTTCAACAGTGAGTGGTTGCATACATGTGGGGCATGTCCGAGAATTCATGAGATGTCTGGTGATACAACCTCGGCAAAATACATGTTCATTATAGTGACACATGACCGGGTCTTTGATGATATTAGTACAAATGATACAATGCAGTGTTTGGCTGATAGTCTGTTCAAATCGTTGGGCATCATAACCAATTTCATTGGGGGCGAATTTTGATGCTGCCATTTCAATACCAGTCGCTGATGTTCTTGGATTGCCGCTCACGAGCCAGTAGAATATTCCGCTGTAATGGCAAGAAATTAGTCAAATCAAAAAGCGGCTTTATATTTTTCCCTATGCGATCGCTATTGATCAATAGTTATGCATCATTTATCAACAGTTCTACAGAACCGAATCTTTACCTACGTAAATTACCTCAGTTATAGAGCTACGCGTTTTAAGTCACGTACACAACATATTATTAAACGTGCTTTGGTATGATACATTGTCTTTGACGTCGTTCAGCTGCGTATTTTACGATAACTCTGCGTTCATAAACATTGTCTGTGTTTGAGTTTGAATCATACAAACGCAATTATAACTGCTTAAATTCCTGAATATTAAATTTTTTGACATTGCGGGATTTCACATTTTTTAAGGTCCTCTTAAATAACCCGGGTGGCAGATAGCGGACTAACGGATATCGGATAGAAAACCCTTAAACAACACAACTTTAAAACAACTCCTATACATGTGTAAAAAGTATTAAACCTTGATAAATGTGGCCGAATAGTATGATAATTATAGCTTTTAAGACTGTGTTGACCAACGCAATTTTTCTTGCAACTTCAATTTTCATCAACAGTTTGTAACTGCCAGCCATTAGGCCAACACTTGTTGGCTGACAGTGGCGTCGCCAGCTTGATAAGTAGGGGGGACTTATTCATATATTCGTGTTTTACATTATTATTTCTGTGAACATGAATATATGAAAATGTCCACCCCACTTATCGATGCTGGCGACGCCACTGTTGGCTGATTGGAAGGGTGCAATAAACTGTAAACACTTTTACGTTCCGACGTTTAAAGCAAGTGTTGCAAATTATTTAATTTTCTTTTGAATATACCAGTCTTTTTCTTTTTGTTTTGAATATTCAAGTATTTTAATTTCGTTTTGAAAAATTATGCAAGTCTTTTACTTTCGTTTTGAATAATTATGCAAGTCTTTTACATTCGTTTTGAATATGCAAATCATAATGAAGAAGAGACATAATCTTCATTGAAAATATTTCTTTTTAGGTGTGTTGGACTTCCTGTTAAGTAACAAGATCACCGCAAGGGTTTTGAGGGAAATATTTATTTTTAAAATAATACCTATGCTAAACCCAGATGGTGTAATAAATGGTTGGTAAGTGTCTGTAGTACTGTCTGCGAAAACGCTTTAATCAATATAATAGACGCTTTAATCTGACAGTGGTCATTATTGATGCTAGAGAAGTCTATTCTATTAGAACCGTCATATTCTGCGCCGCTATATATTTACAGCTGGTAAATATTTATCGCCATTTTAAGGTTCTCGTCACTGGGTGGTGGCCGTAAATTCATAAAACTGTAAACATAGCGGCCCAAAACATGACGGTTGGGACTTGGGACTATTTTTTTAAGTAAATATAAAAATAAATTATGATAAACGTTTATTTCATAGTGTGACTAGTCAAGTGATTTGACTATTCAGTTATATTCTTATTTCAATAAACAAATTTCAGAATAAATGAGCCCGTTTCAATTCAATTAGCTGGTCTATTGGTATTATTATGGTTCTAGTAAGTCATGTTTCATTAATACAAACAAGGTATAAACAGGGAATGTTGTTTTCATCTAGTCATCGTTGTTCAATATCTGGTGCTGATCTCAACAGACAATGGCTGGATCCCGATCCTATTCTCTTTCCAACTATTTACCACGCGAAGGGGCTGCTGCTTTACTTACAGGCTATGAACAAGACACCATTGGTAAGTCACACATTTGCATTAGTGTTGAAAAGGCTGCGGATGGAGTGAGTAATCCATACCCTAGGAATGGTTCATGGTTCGCATCTTGTTACCTAAGCCCACGATCCTCCACCGAGGAAACGAAAACTTTGGGAACGCAATGCTCTGATTGGTTCTTGAAAGGAATGATCTGATTGGTTGTTAACGCCGTATGGAATGTTTTGATACAATGCAGAAAATTGCAAGTAATACTTTTTGGCGACATTTTTATTGTGATTTATAACGGTTAAAAAACTAAACTGAATATCGTTTATTATTTGCCAGAAAAGTATCAAATGTTTGCAAAACATGTGCATTAGCCAGGATTTCGGGCGTCCATTTTGGATTATTCCGGAGCTTTCGTTTCCTCGTTAGAGTTCGTTAGAGTATCGCGTGTTCGTTAAGCGAGACTGCGATGGTTTCCATTTAGTATGATTTTTTCAACCAGGGACGATGCAGCGTCCTTATCAGATACATACATCCAAACGTACTAACATTTTTATCTTATTATTCACCAGGTATTTTGTGATTTTCATGGCCATTCACGCAAGAAAAACGTCTTTATGTACGGATGTCATAGTCCAACCGCCGATCTACCGGTCACAATCGTTAACTCCGGCTCTGAATCAGATTCCTCTAATGTCGGTGAAGCCGCAGTGAGGGAAACAAATCATAGGGTAAGAACACAACTGAAGTAAAATAGATAGAAAGTTATCGCCAACCAAAACAATTAAAGCCAGGTGTTGGATTCTAAACAATTAAATGCTCCTGAACACTGCATTGTATTAGAGAAGGTATCAGAGCTTCAAAACTCAAGGAAACCCTATAGTAATTTTATGTGAATCACATAAGCTACGGGTTTAAAAAAAAGTAAATGTATGTTATGCGATTTTTTGGTAGTATATTACATAATTATTTTCTGATCATTAAATCTCAGCTTTGTAGTGCATTTAATAATATGTGATAGATGGACCTTAACAGTTCTCCTTATTTGATGATCTAGACATTGCCAAGAATTTTACATTCCATCGCACCGGCTTTCTCCTTTCAAAACTGCAGTTTTGTCGTGGAGTCCTCCAAAGAGTCGACTGCAAGAGTTGTGGTCTGGAGAGAGCTGGGGGTAACAAGGAGTTATACCATGGAGAGTACTTATTGTGGAACGGATCAAGGACCATACAAGGTGAGCTAGTACATTCCAGCCTAGTCTTTGAAAACAAGTTAGCTAAACCCTTAGACCCTTGCAAGGGCCTTCACTATTCAAATATGTAACAGCAATAGCTTTTCGTATTAAAATATCTATTTGTTTATAGGGTTTTCATATTGGCACGAAGGAACTTGAAGAAATGGGTCGTTGTTTCTGCGCAGGTCTTCTAAAGCTTGGAAACGGTAGTAGTATAACAGCACTACTTGGTACCATTCCTAAATTGAGCATGGATGAACGTGATCCTGAGGACGACATTTTGTAAGTTGAAAACTATTTCTATAATTATCATTATGCTTGTGTAATGTATCTGCTATGTCTAATACAGATTTAAGTCAGCTGTATTGGCCATAAGGTGTTGTAGCTTCGTATTTAAAGAGGCTGTAACATGCCTTCGAACAAATAAATCATTGGGTAGTGTAGTGTCAGGATAATGTAGTGTCAGGCCTGATTTCCATTTTGTCGTAATTGACATGACAATTGACAGTAAGTTTATTTTCACTGATACGAGATTGCCCGGTTGTGGATTTGTCCTTTTTTCCGTATTTCACATCGGTCATTGTTGACTTCACACACATCAGCCATACTACAAATATTACAATACACGTAGAAATATTACATCAGCCATACTACAAATATTACAATGCACGTAGAAATATTACATCAGCCATACTACAAATATTACAATACACGTAGAAATATTACATCAGCCATACTACAAATATTACAATGCACGTAGAAATATTACATCAGCCATACTACAAATATTACAATACACGTAGAAATATTACATTTCCCAATGGCAATGGAAAACAGGCTTTACACTAAAACCCAACCTCTTGGTTTGTCCTTGGTTTGTCCTTACAAACCTTTGCTCTTCCCGTCAGGAGTGTTTTAAACACCAAGTTGCTCAACACGCCACCGTAGCTGTAGGAACTTTAGCTGGTCTTATACACAACAAGACGCCCGGTAGGCGTTATCTCGGGCTATGTAGCCGGTAAATACACTGCACTGAAACTGATCTATATTGATACAGTGTAAATACACGACCGTCCGCGCGGAAGACTAAGCCTGCGACACGAAAAAAATAATATTATTATATACCACTTGTCAAAGTTTGGTGTTCGTAGCATTTCATCTGTCGAGAGCGAATCACACGAGGGTGACGAAATTTTGATGTCGCCAGCGCGACCCCCTGCAGAGTGAGATAACGTGTTATCTCATGGGAAATAACAACTTTAATCGTGCGACCTTTAGACTGTTTATCCATTTAAAATTAGGTCTTTTATGAATAGGTACTTCGTTGTTTACCTTGTAGTTTGGTTTTTCTTTGACAAGTGGTATATAATAAAAAACTTATTTACTGAGAACTCAGAAAAGATTATGTTTTGTGGACCCTCGACCCTCGATATTTTACTCGGCTTCGCCTCGTGAAATATCGACAGGTCTCGGGTCCACAAAACGTAATGTTTCCTTCGTTCGCAGTAAATAAGTGTTAAATAATTATCGCGAAACCTAGACTCGGCTACCACAGATAGCCCGAGTAGTAACCGCGAAACCTAGACTCGGCTACCACAGTAGCCCGCGGACTTTAATAATTTAACTTTGACAAATACAGAAAGAAAGCCAGAATCTAAAGAAAATTTATTCTTTGGTTATTCTATTGTTTCATTTTCTAGTGCAACGTTTCTTTGAAACTTTGCAATATTGTGATGCATCGATGGGTGGCGAAAATTCAAACGACTTAGTCATACACATAGTGTAAACTTTCCGGGGGCTGAACTTGATATGTGTTTATAGCGATTTTTTGTGCTTGGTAAGAAGATTACACAGCAAAAAATCATTTTCTTATTTCAAGAAGAAAAAAAGCCCATTTTAAAAAATTTTCTGATAATGAGTTCCAATTTTCTTGGGAGAATAACAAGAAAATTTTCTGACTTTTTTTTTTAAGAAATCTTTTTTTAAGAACATTCAGTTCTTAAAATAAGAAAAGTTGCACACAAATAATTTCTCAGTTTAAAAAATTTTTCTTGAAATTAGGAATTTTGTGGTCCTTAAAATCAGGCGAGACATCATCAGATTAATTTCCAAGTAAATAATTTTAAAATTGGTGTGAAGTAAATTCTAAGTTCACACTGAACTTAAAATAAAACTTTGCAATCATGTTAGGAGTTGAGTACATCAAACAAAAACACTGGTAAATAATAATTTAGCCACTCTGTGGAATTTTAAGCTATTCTTTAGCTATCCCCCGGTGCTATACCGGCTTCTTGAGATAACTACTTTAAACTATTATCAAATACACCCTCCTTCAACCCATTCTGCACTGCTTTTCTACCTCCCTATGATAGTTTAAACTCCAATCAATTCACCATGAAAATACATGTAAATAATTCGAACAATATATAGATAGAGGCCTTATCCAATGAAATCAAATGGTATTAAATCAAAAAATTGACCCTAACAAAATATGGATGGATAAATGTATCTGAAGGCAAAATAGAGAGCTTTGTGATAATTTTAATGATATAGGCAGACTCTGATGCACAATTTATACCCTTTGGAACTGTCTCAACCCTACTGTGTGGAGAAGCACTGTTACATCAACCCCTCTGGATTTAGTATAAATCTGAAAAATACAACACAACTCTTATCCTACATTTCAAGGAAAGACATTAGAAACATTGCTGTATGCTGCTTCTTAGTTATATATATATATATATATATATTTATATATATATATATATATATATATATATATATATATATATATATATATATATATATCACAACATTGAACTATTCTATTTTGCTCCTCTGAGGTATTCTAGGCCATAATTGTTGAGGAATTCTAAAGTTTTGTTTAGCTATCCCTGCTATAGCCAACTATTTAACTATATAAAACAGATAATAACACGGAAAATCATGGCCCAAATCATTGCACGATGAAAAAAGACCTAAATACAATTCTTGATCTATAATAGGGTCGAATAAAGGCTAACGAAGGCTAACAAATAAAGGCTTATACGTTATAAATAATAACACACCGATCAGCATGTTGGCATATGACATCATGAAACATCAACTCACCTTTATGAAATACCACAAATTTTCGCCGACATAGTATATATTTTTTCACATCCTAAATGTCCATATCTTTATCGGTAAATATAAAGTGTTCATAACAAGATACAAATGCCATATTTGCCATGAAAAAACATTATTTCTTTGATATGCGTTAATAGCGTTATACGTTACGCTCATAGAGATTATAAATAAACACAGTTTCGTGGAACTCGACGCGGAACCCTTTGATGTTGCTGTCCCTCAATTCCAAACGCTCACGCCATTTTCCACGCGCCACGAAATTGCAAAAGACGGCATGTTGTAAAACGTGGACTGGGCTGGACTTTTAAACTATGGATTAGACTGAACTTGTAAAACATGGACTTGTAAAACATGGACTTTTGTAAAACATGGACTTTTGTAAAACATGGACTTTTGTAAAACATGGACTTTTGTAAAACATGGACATGTAAAACATGAACTTGTAGAACGTCGTAAAAATTATTCGTCATTCTCACGCGTTGCTTACACCATCAGCCAAAACTCGTAGTCGCCGGGCTTTTGAATACGAGTTTTTTGGCAAATTTGGTACTCAAAAATTTGGCGACTACGAGTTTTGGCTGATGGCGTAAGCAAACAACGCGCGAGAATGACGAATTTCGTACTAAAGCTCCCTATTAATACATAACACCGCGGTTGAAATTGCGACCGCTTCGCATGAGCAACTAAAAAAGTAAAAAGATAATTCAACAAGACGCCGTTCTGGCGTTAACTCCGGCGCACGTGCCAGTCTTCAATATAGAGCTTCTGGACATAAACAATACAGTTCGCGTATTGTTTCGCATACATATTCGCATTTAGATGCCTTACGAACCTAAATGTTCGATCGCGAAATTCAGAAGCACATCGCAGTATAGAAGTTCAATTGTTCAAAAATGTAAATAAACCGCATGATACATTCGCTTCGTCTTACAGTTTGCCTTTGGAATTCGCGCTTATATAGTTGTATTAAATCTTCGATCCTGTGCAAACTACGCGACGTGTCAACGCGCCCATACACGACCACTTCATCTTGTTAAACGGCGAAATAGCAGCGATATTATTAAAATAGGACCGGGTCTACATGTATTAAATATATTCTTATCCCAATTCAATCTAAACTTAATCGAACAGCATGAAAAGAACGGTCTATTTGTTCCTCTTGGAGGAATTGCCGTATCATGCGAGCGTAATCGAATCGCGCATTGGAAAATTAGCCAAAGCTGTGCACCACAAGTCTCTGGAGATAAGACTGGGACGTAGATAAATACGGTCACATACATGTTTTAAATACTAGTATATTTCGCGCCATTACAGACTTGCGACGACGAAAAATAAAAAAAAAAGAAAAACAAAAAAAAACAAAACAAAACCGGGGCGAATTTTCAACTCCGTCGCTGACGCCGGAGTAATAATGGCAATATCGCGGCGAGCCTAATTAATAGCCCTGTATAATTTGCCAATAGATCCAACAACCTCATTTTTCTAAGCAAATGAAGAAACGCTTCTTCGACTCTCGAACAAGATAACTCAGTGCTAACTAGATAAAATTTTCAGGGCTGACTAGACACTTTTTCTCAGAGGTGAACCAATAATAATAATAACGATTTTGTGTAGAAGACCACCTTATATAAATGGAATAGATTCCAAGTGAGCTTCTAGCCTTAAAATGACAAACTATTCCGCATGGTATTCTTAATATCAGCATGTTGATAAATATTTGTATTATTTCTTGTTTTTAGGCTCCCTGACGGTGACCTCTTTGCTCCTGTTGATACGTACCCTTATGAAGGACGTGATTACGCCACGCAACTCTTAGTTTGAGGATTTTCAAATTGAATATTATGCCTGCATCGAATAATACTGACTGAGCCTGGGAAAGAATTTGAAAAGTCCGATTCGGCATAACTTTATTTCCAACCAATTTCGCATCCAATTGAAGGGCAACATGCTTCCCACGCAAACGCGGAATGGAGTTATTTTTTAGGATTTTCTCCGTTTCATTTGGGTAAAAATATTTAAAAAACAAGTTACATATTAAATCATATTTAATATTTTATCTGGTGAATGATATTTTTACATATCGAATTCTAACGTCGTTAAACAATACTATTTTTACGACGAGATCAGCTTGACGTCACCATAGCCACATCTTTTGCTTGGAATAAACGAGAATTACATTGATTATGCGGTCTAGACCTTTTAATAGTCATACAAACGTTTCAATTGTGCTAAGAACGTCTGATGTTTAGCTCACATTACCGTACCATTTACCCTGCATTGTTGCTTCCTGACAGCTACCAGGCCTTTTTTAAAAGATAAGTTTGAAAGAAATACCTTTCAGTCCGCCCCCTTGTTCTTTCCTCAAGAAACCATGCAAGAATCAAAAAGACCAAAAAAATACCAAAACATTCTCTGGGGATGAGCCCCAAGACTAAATATTCCCACGCTATTTCAACTTTTACAACTTCACATTTAGGTCACTCCATCTCCCTACGGCCAACGATATTTCTCCGACTTCGTGGAGACAAATTTGAAGTGGTATGTTTTAAATACATGCTCTCATGGAATCGAATTTTCTCCATGCACTCTCTTACGTACGGTTCAGTGTCTCACATGCGGGGCTAAGGCAAGTTTTCTTAGTCACCTGAATTTTGAAAATGAATTTTTCTTGATCAGATCGTATAACGTAACATCATCGTTTTTTTTCCGTTTCATGAAAACTTACGAAAGCCCCAATCTTTTGTAACTCCGTATCGACGATAAAACTAGGGCATAATGGAGATGACGATTGATCTGTTTGGAATATAATATATAGAATATAATCGAATGTTTTTGCTCAAAAGTCCGAATATTTTCCCCGAAAATAGACGTACACCTTACCAAACCCTCACACCCCCCTCCCATACGTTTATAAGCTTTAATTTTTCCAACTCTAAAGTAATATAATTATAAAATCATAACTGACTTTGAAGACTATAATATTTTCACTGTCTAGGGGTATGCATTTACTGTGGTTTAAACCTTTATTTAATTAGCTATATATACTTACTCTAGGTTTGCGAGGTATGAGGGCAGTTGCCCCCCGAATGTTCTACAAAACTGAGGCATTCGGCCAAAGAGCTCTGCAGATTCCGGTAAAATAAAATAGCGGCTTTTTAATTTAGCAAATGAAACACAGTCCTCATGTCGCAAAATGTTGGCATTTTCTGGGACTTTGCGCAACAAATATCCCCCTATTGTCGATTATTAACTTTCTTGCTCGTATATGCATTAATGTTTTATCTTCATATCTCGATTCGTACTGTGCATTGTATTATCTCCATGCATGCTGTCCTAATTCAACAACATGCCCCGGTTTCTAAACAAACTTAAGAAGAACAATTCTGCAATTATATAAGCTTATTCTGTACGTAGCTACCTTTCTCAAACACATCAATGTGAAGGACGTTTTCAGCTGTTGAAAAGTTTATCTCATGAAATTATGATCTTCCTATACACACCGGCCTCCGATATAATTATAATCCGATTCTAAAGCACGTGGAAGTCGCAACGTGGCTTGATCAGACTTTTTGACTTAAATGAATTATCCTTGCATGTTTACATATGGCATCGTTTTCACATCCTCGCTTCATTTCTAAACCTTAAAGATTTGTTAGAGCGGTTTGTACACTCGTGCGTCTAGTTTTGAGCACTATGGTTTCAAAAAGCAAGAAGATGAGAATCTCTAGCCTCTCCGACCGAGGATATCGGTATAAAGAAACGGATTCGCCATTGATGGATTTGTACTTTAAGTTTGCCGCTAATAGTTACTGCGCAAGAAGAAATCCTGAAGTAAGGAAAGAGTATATTATGAACTAATGAATTAAAGAAGTAATGACTAACGAATTCGTACTGATACAGACAGCATAGTCATTTATCAGAGCATGTTTTTGGCATGATTACTGCATACATGTCGGAGCATTGAAGCGCATGAATAGCATGTGAACAAATGAATACGCCTGCATGCATGAAAATGCCAGAGAACTTGGATCACGTACGAGGATTTTACGTCGATGTAAAAATACCATAAAATACAACAATTTCTCTCCGTGATATTTTAACACCAGAATATGTGAAATATGGAATCTCTGTCACGATTACATCTAGTTTAGTTGAAAATATAAACTTTATACACCATTGCGCTTTGCACACTGCACAAACACGTAACAACCTTTCTCCGTACATACTGATCTAATCATCTGGCATTTTCAGCCGTATTAATCATTTGTTGACTATTTCAAAAGTCGGTACATAATCCCAGGTCTAACACTAATCTTAGTCATATATCACAAATTTTTTTTCTACCTCAAAATACCTTGAATCAGTTCCCATGCATGTGCTGAAAAAAAATGCAAAATTATCCTTCGCAACAATAGTAAATTCCGCTTGACACTCCCTAATATTTTATCTTCTGAAATCGTAAAAAGCATGTTGTGCGTAATCCTGCCTTGGTAGACTATCTTTAAAAGGGGGAATGGGGGAATAACGGGGAATATCGGGGAATGAAGGAATATCGGGGAATGGGGGAATAACGGGGAATATCGGGGAATGGGGGAATAACGGGGAATGGGGGAATATCGGGGAATGGGGGAATATCGGGGAATAACGGGGAATGGGGGAATAACGGGGAATAACGGGGAATGGGGGAATATCGGGGAATAACGGGGAATGGGGGAATAACGGGGAATAACGGGGAATGGGGGAATAACGGGGAATATCGGGGAATAACGGGGAATATCGGGGAATGGGGGAATATCGGGGAATAACGGGGAATGTCGGGGAATATCGGGGAATATTATATTCACCCAGCAAATTTTTAACAATTAATCATCCCAATGTAAAAGTACCATGGCAGTTGTGTTTAAAAAGAATAATATTAGACTTTTTCGACCGCAGTCCAGTAACACAACATATCAAAGTATGACAACCTACTAATAAATAATGCATTATCTGGTCATAAAATTAGGAAATGGAGGACCTAAATATTTGCAGAAGAATCGGTCATAAAAAGTTTCAAAAGGATAATTTTCGATTGAAACTTTTAAAGTTTCTGCGTTAGACACTATGGTGGAACTTCATTAAATACCAGTACCTAAAAGTTTTTGCATAATTATGACGTTGGAAGAACATAACGTAACATAACATAACATTCGCATTTTTTCATGCATTAACACAACCGAAGTTATCAAACCTAATAATCAATGTCAATAGTCGATACAAATACTTATATTCATTGTCAAAAGATATATAGTTCTTAAGGTTTCACGGTTCAGTTATTAACGTCTAAACCAAACTCATTAGTAAGTCTCTCAATATGCTCTGATCGAAAATAACGGGCGAAATCTTGGGAAATGACAAGGGCGTTGCTGGTGAAGTTTGGGTATCGCATCCTGATACAAGCATATCTGAGGTGGAAATGAACATTTTGCGGCTCTCTTGTAGATTGAAGTTACCCGGTGTTCCGATCACGGTATTGGCGTATGTCTTTATGGACGACGACTAAATTGTCTGCAACAGTTTGTGGAGGGTTCTGGATGTCTCCTCCGCACCCATAACAGCGTGAAACTGTTGTCCCTAAAACCCATTTGAGCCCGAATGACGAGGGGTTTTGCGGACTTGTGGAATGTATTTGAGTTGATGGGTGTTGTTGGGGAACTTGCGGGGATCCGGAAAACGTGGAAGGTGATTGATAAGCTAAATGCTGTGGGGCAGTCTGAGGGAGTCCATATATCATTGGTGGTGGAATTGGTGGGTTAAACTGAGGAGCTCGAGGCCCTCTACTACCAGACACGACGGGAGGTAAATGAAATACTGGACTAGGGCGGTTAGGGATTTGGGATGCTCGATAAACGTCGTGAGGTATTTGAGACGGAGTTTCAACTGCTTCAGTGGTGACTTCTTCAAGCAGGTCCACAACTTGAGTCACAGGAGGCTTTTTCTTATTAGTCCTTTTCCGCGTGCTCGGCTTTCTTCCCGCATTTTTCGGAGCACTACCAAGTGTCATCTCAAGCATGTTTGGTCCTCTTTTTGATCTGCGGTACCACTCTAAAAATTCAGTCAATTTTTCACGCACCTGTGCAACTGCTAAGACGTGTTCACATATTCTTGTTGAGCTATTAACGCAATTCCTATCACATTTCAGACACCCACCCTTTCCAGGGGTGATGACGTGGATGGTATTACTATTTCCAGCGACGATGTATGACCCGTCAGTTGCCCCAGGCTTTGGGATGACGTTGTCGCGTCTCCGTAGAAGTTGGTTAGCTTTTTCGAACATAGCTTGAAGTATAGGCATTGGGACCGTGGTGACACCACTGCCCTGCATGTGCTGTTATTGCAAGTGTATTAGTGCACGAAAGTGACGCTTGGACCGAGCTATCAGCTTCTACCTCTTTGTTCGCCACAA